AGATATAACCTTCCATGAGCCTAATGTACATAATGTGATGGTGATGACGTATAACACGTCGTTTTACCCATAGAATATACGGGGAAGAGGTAGAATTAGGTTGAGATAGGGAGATATTGAGGAGGAGATTTAAGGAGTTGGAATGATTGGATGAAACTTGACACGCCTTTGGCACAGGTGCAGAGGGGACAGCTTGCTTTGATTTTTAAACTGGACACGACCTTGGCCAAGGTTGGTAACGTTGAGAGATGAGGTAATTGACTTAGTTTGACTTTGAGAGAGTGGACGTTTTACCCCTGATTTCTGGTCAAAGTTTGAGGACTTAAGAACGGGATGGATAACGGGTCGTGTTTATGCCTGCCTTTTCCAAGCATCATCATTAAATGGTCTGGTTACCAGAACCCTTCATTCTTCCATAAATATTACTAAGATATGAAAATAGACGCCATAAAATACCTCATAGATGGCAAGTGCTATATATGGATGTGATCACCTAGTAAAATATAAAGATTATAACCTTGCACTACAGAATGAGATACAAAGCGTAGAATGAAACCCCTCTCGCTGAGATAATCTTGATTCATATAACAAGGGGGGGGAAATGGATATACAATACATACCAATACCCTGGGGCCTATGATAAAGAAACATCAGCTTATTTGGTATTTACAGACCCAGAGTTTAATTATAAAGTAGAGGAGGGTATAGTACTAAAATACCACTTCGAACTTTAGTATTCCCTGGCCAAAAGAAGGCTATCTTTATTTTTAGTTAGTGATGAAGCTACCTTTAAGGATACTGTTAGGGGTAAAGTTAAGTTTGTCCATCATCTCCGTGATGATAAAGGGGACCCTATAGAGTCCACTGACCAGTCTTATTCAACTAGAACAGTAGACATATATTGAGAGTTCCTTACTTATGGGGCAGTAAAAGAGCGCCCTATTATAGCCCCTGACAATCAAGCAGCATTGGTAAGTCTTCCAGATGATATAGCCATTGCTGGAGAAGCAGCGCCTCCATATAAGGAATAAATAGTGTTTGTAAGAAGGACTTTACAATTCACTTTATAGCTAATCAATAAAGGAGTATCAAGCACCACTAGTAATAATTGAGGGTCGTTTTGCCTGTCCTATTATAATTGGAGGGAAGGTGAATAGGAATCAAATACGAATCAAGTATAATAAACGCTATCAGGAGAGGGAGGAATCGAACCCCCAACTATAAGTTTGGAGCTTACCATTTTACCATTAAACTACTCTCCTTATTGGCAGTTG